ACAAAACGCTCGACGTTATCATATGCTTTTTGGTGACGTAATCGATTCTTTAATCCAGCAAAAATTGGGAGAGAAACAGGTTGTAAGCTATTTTATATTTTGTAACCATCATCTTTATTTACCTAAAATAGCTATGCACCTTTTATCCCTTTATTGGCATGATTCAGTGATTCAGCTTCTTTAACAATAGTGTTTACTGCTTTCAAACTTGATACGGGAAAAGTTTCCATGTCTAGCCAATAATGACAGGCAATCGAACCACTGACAGCTGTTACGCCGAGTTGGCAAATTTTGAGCTTTCAACATTTATTTTAAGAAAATATATTCATTCATGGGTTTTAAGTTTCTGTAGTCTTCTTGTTTTTTCGATTCTAATTTAACGGCAGAAATTTTGTAGCTTGTATTTTGAATAATACTAAAATAGGTGTTTAGCCACCTGTTCGAGACGCTTTAGATGCTTTCATATTTCAACGTGTCTATTTGGACAAAAAGCAGAACGAAGATGGCAGTGGAGCAGATCAAATTCAAGATTTGCGCAAGAAATATCCGCCTCAGCTGCTTCGTAGATTGTATGATTTGATATTTCCTTCGAAACACATTCAAAAATTTCCACATTTTTTACCGATATGAGGATATGAGACATTTTTTTTCTCGATATGAAATAATTTGGTTTATTTGGATTTGTTCGTCATACACAGGTGTTTCAGTGTGATTTCAACTTTTCGGGATCCTTGAACTGTACAGCGAAAATTCTACTTACTGCTTAGAAAATCTACTTTTCATTTTTAATAAAGTAATATATATATATACATATATATGAGTGATGTTTCTGAGCTGCTTCCAGAGATTTTTTGTATATTTCAGTGAAGTATTTTTCAAGGGAAGCTCTATAAGTAAACCGTTGGCAATACGTGAAGTGAAGGCAGCTCACGTGGGTAAGCTGGTTGTAATAAGTGGCATTGTCATTCGATCTACGGAAGTGAAACCAATGGCTTCTGTTATGACTTACACTTGTGATACTTGCGGTTGTGAAACCTATCAGCCGGTGATTTTTCTTTTCTTTCTGTATAAAAACTAATAATTATTTTACCATTTTTATAAAAACCAATAGCTATTTCTATGTTATTCAAGAAATGCAGTACCTACAAGCTAATTAACTGATTACGTAAATCGTAGTTTTCCTTGCAGTAGCTAGAAATAAGCTTTCAAATTTTCAGATAGCAGGACCGGCATTTATTCCACCACTTAATTGTCCGTCGAAAGACTGTGTTGAAAATAGGGCAAATGGACGTCTGCAAATGCAAATTCGTGGATCAAAATTTATGAAATTTCAAGAAATGAGAATTCAGGAACTTGTAATTTTTGTTGTACTAATTTTGCAATGTTCTTTATCATATTCCAGATCCTAAAATAAATGGCCTATTATTTCATACAGTAATTTTAGTTTGAAAAGTTTCACAATTTTATTTATTGTATAGTGATTTTGAAACTCATCTTTTTTTCAATTTTGATTTTAGAATGAACAGGTTCCTGTTGGTAGCATTCCACGTTCTTTAACAGTGAACGTTATCGGCGAAAATGCAAGGGCTTGCGTACCAGGCGATGTTGTCCGAATTACTGGTACATTTGCTCCTCTAATGAGGACTGGTTTTCGACAATTTACTGGAGGCTTAACAACAGAAGTTTTTGTCGAAGCACATCACATCGAAAATATCAATATGGTTTGTATTTCTTTGAAATTTTTGTACATTATTTTAATTCTTGTTTTAAATAATCATAGTGGATTTAAGGATCCGACTTTGGGAAGTTGAGCTTTTCTCGAAGTTTCGGGAAAGCTAGCAAACTTGCACATTAAGGAGAGGAGTAAAAAGGGTTAAAATATTCATCAGAATAATTTTTCAGTATCTTAAGTTATTTTGAATTCATGAAATGGTGTGCTGAATATGTTTCTGTTGAAAAATTGAGGACAAGGTAATTTTTGAGAACAGTGACGATATCCTTGGCGAGCAGTACGAATTAACAGACGAGGAAGTTGAAATAGTTTCACAGGATAATTTCTACGAATTATTGGCTTACAGTATTGCTCCGGAAATCTATGGACATTTAGATGTCAAAAAATCATTATTGCTTGCTCTCGTAGGTGGTGTTGACAAAAATGTGAATGGAATGAAAGTTAGAGGTATGATTTTAGTAAAAGTTCTTTTCAAAAAAGCATAGTTTTTGGAGTTTATGCACTTTTTCTTAATATCTGACATATCCCTTACTTTTCCACGTTCTCATTTTTAAATTAGCTTTCTAATTTCCTAATTGCTATTAAAATAATTATTTTTTTAAATGATTTACTAATATATTTGCTTGTAGCAGGAAATAACTGACTTGCATGTTTTATGTTATCCATTTTTAGAAAAAATTGAATCTGATTCAACATTATTTCATTCTTATATCTTTAACGTTGATATAGGTTGCATCAATATTCTTCTAATGGGTGATCCGGGTGTGGCAAAATCACAGCTTCTGTCCTACGTAGATCGTTTGGCAATTCGTTCTCAGTATACAACTGGTCGAGGTTCTTCTGGTGTTGGTCTTACGGCAGCTGTAATGAAAGATCCTGTTACTGGTGAAATGACATTGGAAGGAGGAGCATTAGTGCTGGCTGATCAAGGTATTTGTTGCATCGATGAATTTGATAAAATGATGGATGCTGATCGAACAGCCATTCATGAGGTGTGACTTTTTTATCAACTCTATTTGAACTTAGTAAAATTTGACTTAGTTCTGAATTAATGTGTTTTGTTTTCAATATGTTTAGAAAAGACTCAGCTACCAGTTTGAATTTTAATTGCTTGGAATTCAGATGACTGGTCTGTTAAGTTTTAGTGTTGTTCTCTGCTAAATGCAGCTTTGTTGCTTTAATTTTATGTTTAGGTTATGGAACAACAAACAATCTCAATAGCTAAAGCAGGGATTTTGACAACGTTGAATGCTCGTGTCTCAATTATCGCTGCAGCAAATCCGGCATTTGGGAGATATAATCCTAAAAAAAGCATCGAACATAATGTCGATCTTCCAGCGGCACTTCTTTCACGCTTTGATCTTCTTTGGCTCATCCAGGTTTTCAGCTTTCCACTTTTTTTTATTGATTTTAAATTCTACTTTTGAATTTGTTTTACTTGAACTAATAAATATCTAGGACCGACCAGATCGTGAAAGTGACAAGCGTTTGGCAGAGCATATCACATATGTTCATATGAAGGGACGTGAACCAGAGAGGGAAGGGATGAAACCGCTCGATATGTCTCTAATCAGGTCAATCTTAAAAAGCTGGAAGCTATATATGTTTTCTAAAAATTTCAAGCAGTGAAATCAAGCACATTTCGTCCTTCAGGTCATTCCTAGTTATGGAAACTTAATACTGTTTAAAGTTTCCAAAATATAACGTGATGCTTGACTTTTGTTTCGTTATATTTTGTATCAGATCTAGATAAATTTCGAAGCATTTTTTGCTCTAAAGGAGTATTGGTTCTTTTTTTTTTTTTTTCATAGTCGATTTTTATTTCTAGACGATACATTGCAATGTGCAAACGAAAACAACCTGTTATTGAAGAAAAACTACGTGATCGACTTGTGGATATGTATGTGGACCTTCGCAAAGATGCACGGAATAACAGAGTCCGTCTAGACCACTTATTGAATTTATCTTTTTACATTCACAAAAAGAAAAATTATCGATGTGGAGAATAGCTTGTTTATTATAAATTGGCAGCATGTTTTCGCTTTTTGAAATTTATTTTTATTTAGAATTCAGTATTTACTTCACCACGAAGTTTATTGGCAGTTATTCGACTGAGTTCAGCACTGGCTCGTCTCCGCCTTTCAGATGTGGTCCAGTCTAGTGATATAGATGAAGCAGTTCGTCTTCTGGAGGTCGTATTTGAGATTTTACTTGTCCTTCAGTGAAATTTATATTCTAATTTTTAAGGCGTTACAAAATTTGTAAGATTATTTCAATACATTTGCTTCTAAAATTAATCAAAATGACTAGTGAGTTAGAACTGACTATATATGTTGCTATCTTAGGCTTGTCGAGCTTCGGTCACTACAGAACAACTGAAACAGCATGAAATTCCTATTCTTGATCAAGCGTTTGCTGTCATTCGTGACTTGTATCATAGCATCAGCGATGATGAGAATCGTTCACTTCCACTGCAGAGAGTATTTAAAAAATGTTTCGCGAAGGGAATCTCAGAAGAAGTTGTACAGGAATGTATTAATACTTATACTGCTAACGGTGTTCTCATGGTCGATCGACAGCAACGAATTGTTTTCACTGTTGCTTGAAATGTTATTAGTTCTCCGATAATCACTGACTATGCTACCAATTACTATTCACAGCTATAGAACATTTTCGATAAGTTAGCTTTTGAGTTTTTTTTCCAAAAAAAAAAAAAACGGCATCTGTTCTTGAAGATGGTGAGAATGCATATGTCTTTGAGGTTCGTCCATGGAAATTCCATGCGTCTTTTTACATGTGATGAGAACAACTGATACATTAAATTATTTGCTTCCTCTCTTTGAGAGTTGCACCTTTTTCTATGCCATTGCTTGGCGAGTTTTTATAAGAGATTGGCAGCTCATAATATTACTTTGAGTTCAGCAGATAACAGTGCATTATTAATGAGTATCTTTTTGTTCGATCAGTATATGTCTGGCCTAATATGAGAAATTTCATAAAAGCTTTTCTGATTAAATATTCATTATAGATCCAAAGTGTTCTTAAGAGATTGCTAATATCAAGAGAGCATTCACTGCCAACCCAAAGATTACTTTTTGGGGGTTTTTTAACTTATTCCTTTTGGACAGTTCTGCATTTTTATTATAATTTGCCCAAAGTGAAATCATGATTATATGTACTTTTTTCCTTACATGTAATGAGATGTTCTTACTACTGATGTATAAGAAAATTTATCATATTTTGTGCTTTCATTTCATTTTTTTTTTTTTCACCGACATTGGCGTAAACGTTTTGTTGCGGGTGTATCACTTTGCATCTGCGTCTCATTGTGGTGTTCTGAGAAATGAATTTTACGCTGTTGGCCAGTTGGTTTACGAAGAACCGAAACGAGACTAGTGGTTTGCTTGAGTTCGCGTTGTTTGAACTAAGAATTGTTTATATTAAAATTTCTCTATCGTTTCACCATCTAGGATTGTGGATTCTATCCTAGATTGTCACATAGTTTCGACCTTTATAATTATATTATACATACGATCCGGGAATTAGGGATTTCCTCAGCTTGTTAAATAAAACTTTCTATGCAAAAAGATGAGATGAAATTGGACTTGATCTGCATTAAATAATTCTCATGAATCCAAGAACATTGAGTAGTCTATAATTTTTGCACTCAATTTTTACAGAAATCAGGAAGAGAGTGACTTGAACATGGATTAAATTTGAAGTGCTAAATAGCTAATAAGTAAACAATTACATGTTTCTCAACAATTTCCTGAACATCTGGTGGCATTTGTTCAGGATTTGTTGGGTGAGCCATTCTTTTTTCCATTCTTCTACTTCACGCTTGATTTCTCCATTACTGTCTAAGGTAACTGGACATTTAATTACTGCCTGAAAAGATATGAAATCTCATCACTTAATTCTACAGTTCAATGTTTTTACTGTATTTAATTTTTTTTTTTTTTTTAAACATCATTATAAGACTCGAAAATAATGGATAGACTACGTAAAACATCAGGTGGGTTTAAATTTTAAGTACTACTGTAAATTTTATTATAAATATAATTGCCTGAAAATTTGCGCCGCATTCACGTATTATTTTCTTTGCTACAGTGACATCAGATATCGAATTGCCATTGAGAGCTATAATATGATCGTTAATTTTCAAATAATTTCTCGCTACAGTATTTTCGGCCACTTCTAGGATAATAATTTTATGCGCGGTGACATTTGCTATCTAAAAATTTAATAAAAGTGTACCTTAAATGGAATAACAAATTAGACTGAATAAAGATAACTAATGTTTTACTCTCATCTGAAATCGATATAATTCTTAGGTTTTTCTCCTTATTTTTGTATTTATATTGGAAGGAAAAAAAAATTTTTTTTCATATTATAAAAAAGCTTCTTAAATGCTATGATATTTTGAAGATAATTTTGGCTAAATAAGCTATTATAGCTCAAGTATTTTGAATTTAATTCGAAAAACTTACATTTAATCCAAATGAACGACTTGCACTGGAATCATAGCGAACGTTAACAATAATATAATCGTATCCAGCATGTCTTTTGATTATTTTTTCACTATTTTCAATGTGGTAGAAGTTGTTCCTCCAATTCTAATTCACGTTCTGCTCTATGTTTAACAGCAATCTAAAAAAGGAATATGCATTAGAAATTCGTATTTTATACTATTTTTATGTCCAATCAATTCTAATAATTCGCTATCACTTTTAATCACTCTTATCATTATGTTCTATAATCAAATGTTATTATGAAGAAAGATAATTATTAAATCGGACTGAAGCAAGTACAAAAGGAATTATTTAATATCTGTAATGAAATCAAAAAAAAATTTTAAATTTTCAAAATGTTGGATTAATCACTTAGCAAATTATTTTCATCACTCGTCATCCATGGTTCGTTCATTTAAAAAGCATATTAATTTTGCATTGAAATGTAATATCACTTTCATAATCAAATAACCTATGGTTTTGAATTTTAAAGTTGATGTTAAAATTAAAATATTACATTTACTCGTTTTCCAGTAGTAGCATCCTCGAATAATTTGAAAAATTGATTGCGATCTTTAATTGGAATGCCATTCACTTTTTAAATCATATCATCAAGTTCAAATTTACCTTGAGCATGCGATTTATCCATAAAATTATTAAATTGCTCATCAGGTCGATCTTTAATTGCAATGTACACCCAATGCTTCACATGGTGCCATCTGTATTAAAATTAATTAATTAATTAATTAATTATGTGTATTAATGTTATAGTATTACTTCTACTTTTTACCAATTGCAATATTATCAACACAACAAATAAATTTGCAATAAATCAAAAGCAAAACTTCATTAATTCATAATTTTTTTAGGATAGAATTGATACAATCATATTTCAGTTATCATCAATTCAGGAAAAAAGAGGAAGAATTAAACTAACATAAAGTGAAATAAGAACTGTGTAAATTGTAGTGGTAACTGATGGCGATGTACCAGCCATTATCACAGTATTATCATTTTTAACAACATTTCTCATAACGTTTACTTCGAGATCTTCATTTATCCGTTGAAGCAAATGATAAAATTGTTCATCCTCGTGAAGTTTGATTCCATTTATGTCGATTAATTTATCTTGCAACTATAAAAGAGCACTTCTAAGTAATATTATTCATAGTATTTTAATTATTAGATTTATTTAATTTACTTATTAAATGCATTTAATTTTTTTATTCCTATCTATTTCTTTTTTCTTGATAGCAAAAAAATTTTTTACGTATTTTCATTTATTTTCTTTTACTTTTTTCTGCACAAAAAATCTGTTAAGGATTTAAAGTTTACAAATTATATATTATAGATGTTTAGAGAAATTAATTTCAATCATTTATGTATTACTTGATTTACCTCAAATTTTGTTTCTCCAATTGAGCCATTTTGTGGATATCAGTTACCATTAAATCTTTTATTGTTATAACCAAAAGATCTCCACATTCATAAGGAATATGTAAATTCACAACCTGAAAATAATTTTGATAACAAAAGTATATCAAAAAAAAATTTAGAAACGATTAACGGAAATCAACAGACATATTCTTTCCATCTCTTTTATTATTTTCTCGAAATATTTCCCAAGAAGTTAGCACTTCATTATTTATTATTATCATATTTCATTGTCATCTATTTAAGAAGTAAGATGACATTTTAGTAGAAATAGATCAGTGATATCACGTTTTGATTAATTTTATTCTTTAATTCGATCAGTGATTACCTTTTTTGCAAATTCCATTTTATTTTTATTAATTTTTGAGCCACGAGAAATGTATAAAACAATTTTTTGCTGTCCTTTAATAAAATTTTCAAAACTTTCCAATGATTGTATCGGTTCTTCATTGATGCGTTTAATATGATCTTTTTCCTTAATACCAGCTTCAGCTGCTAATCCTTCTACCTTTTCCACTAATACCTGAAAAATATAATTTCAAACAAAGTTGATACACTTATATGAATTAACAAAACAAAATACAAAATAATTCTATTATTACTAGTTTTTTTTTTTTGAAGAAAAATGACAATGTTGATTGTTATAGTTATTAAACTAAGATGTTAGCATCAATTAGCTAGCTATGAAAGGTCATAGTTGAACCATGCAACTGATAGATTGATAAAGTATTTCAAATTTTATACTTTTGAGCAGAAAATTTGAATAAATAACTTTATGATAAGACTATTTACATATCTAACATTCTTTTAAAACCAAATTTGAACTTTTTGACTTCGAAATTCCCTCATAAATTTTTGAAAATTAATTAATTTTTTCATTAAAAAAAAAACATACACAGTCTTGCTCAACAGCTGGAATTATCCCAAATGATTCATTATCAATGCTTTTTTTTCAATTCGATTACATAATCAATTTTAATGTCCGATTCTACCTCTTTGTTACCTTTTTATCGATTTACCGTGAGAATAAATTTAGTATGTGCTTGCGCTTCTTGCAATAAAATCTAAAATTTTCACTACCAAATTGATTTAAATATAAAATCTATATATGAAAAAGAAAAGAAAAGAAAAAAAGAGTTATAAATTCATTGAAAGTATTAATGCATTAACATTTTTCCAACAAATTTTATTCAAATGAGAAATAAAAAGAAAAGGTAGAATACTTTAGCAAACTTTAAGATAAATTTTCGTTTGTTTCAAACTGCTTATCATTAACAGCAATGATAGTATCATCCATTCGAACAGATGAATTACAACCATGCAAAATTAAGTCTTTCTCAATGATTGCTCCACTATCGTTTAACACTATCGTGTCTTCCCTATCATTTAGATAAAATATATACAGGGCAATTTTTCAAATTAAATAAAGGCGCAACTTTTGGATGACTAACGCTCCGCACATAATCTCAAATGTGTGACTTTTGCGCATTCAACATCTAATCATTCTTTAAATGATCATCAACTACAAAATGCTTTTAAAAGTTAAAACAAAAATTCATTGTTTTGTGATTAAGGGAATAATTTTAAAACAAAAATTCATTGTTTTGTGATTAAGGGAATAATTTAAATTTACTTCGTCTTAATGTAATACAATTCTAATATTTTTTTCATGAAATCAATCCTTCCGGAAGTTTTATTTTATTATTTCTTATTGCTACACCATATGATTACCATTATCATACCTTGTCAAGAAATCAACCTGAACAGCCATCTTTTCCTGTTCAGATATTGACGATGACATATTCTTTGGTAATTCTGTGACAAATAAAATGATAATGATTTGTTATCATACACCAGTTTACACAGAAAATAAATTATGCAATGAATATATTTGTTTAAAGTTCATTATTTTATAAGCTATTCGGGAAAAAAATAAGTCATTTTCAACATCAAAATTTGCCACATCATTTTTTTGCAGTAATATGCAAATTCATTTATAAATATTACTTTCGCTTTTTTTTTTTTAGAATGTTTTTATTAAATGCTGGAGTGATTAAATTGGTACATAGGAATGAAAGTGATAGTTAAACTTTTTTTACTCTATGATTAGAGCTGTGCTGATGATTATAAATAATATCATAGTACTTTTTTTTTTTTTTTTACTCAACTAAACATATTTAGCTTTTTTGTTTTTCTTCCACTTTTTGTTTTTTAATTTTAGGTCCTTTTGCTCTCAATAACGATTATAGTGAAATTCATTGAAGTTAGTAAATTAAAAGTAAAGTATGTTAAAGTTAATGCAGGATGAATCACATTCAACAAAATTTGTCTTTCTATTTATTTTTGTTTCCATATTTTTCTTAGCTATACCACTGGAAACATTTCAAAGATTAATGATTCATAGAAAAAAACAAAACAAAACAAAAACAAAAACAAAAAAAAAATACAGTGGTATGATAAATTTATGTTCACATCACAATTACTGAAGCAAAATGATCATTTATCAGATAAATTTTAAAGTTTATATTTGTAGTAGCCAAACTACTTGGATCATTTTATCCCATAATTCATATTATGGGTAAAACCTATCATTGATTGTATTTTTGTTTTTTTTTTTTATAATAGCAAATCGAATCGTATTAAATTACATTACCTACTATAATTGAATTTTTTAACCTTATAGATTGTATAATTAGTTTTCTCAATCTAAAATATATATAGGGAAGAATTTTCATAAGTAAATGTGTCGTCCTATTCATGAACATTTATGATCATGCAATTATAAAATTTATAAATCTTCAAATGAATTCTGATCAATTCTTTCGAAGAACAATTACATATCATATCATATCATATCATATCATTTATT